CCCCAAAACCCCAAAACCCCAAAACCCCAAGAATTTTTATAGAATTAAAGCTAGAATTCTTTATGATTAATTTAATTATTCAATCATCAATAAAATATTTTAGGTGTATAGACTATGTAGTTTGCTCCCTGAGTTAACTGAATATTAATCTTATGCAAATGATAGACCTAAACCTCTTAATTGCAGTTATCCTCAAAATATCTTGAATTAATCAATCCGTTTCCATGAATTTAGCCTCCAATGGGAACATTTACTTTCTTCATCACTCTTGAGGATATATATGCCAAACTATGTGGAACACCTTTACCTGTTATAAAGACTTCAAACCATTCCTCTCCCAGTTGCTATTGACTCTGCTAATTTAGACTTTAGGTATTAATGTAGCCTGTTCTTGATTGAGTCATTTAGATATTAGATTGCTTGATTAACAAATCCTGTACTTACTGGTTATTGCCTGTGTGATTTCTTTGAGCCTGAATCAAGGTCATCTAAGAAGGCTAGACCATCACATTAATGATAGAGATTTTAAGCAGACTCAACAATTGCTTCCACCATATAATCCTTGCTAGTAATATTCTTTCTCATTTTATCATCCCAGTATTGCAAATAGTAGTGTAGGAATAGTTTATTTTCTCTCATTAAATTCTATTTCTCCTTCCTCAAATCCATTAATTCTTCTCTTATCAATTCTGCATCAGATTTTTGTGATCTTTGAAGTTGGAATTCAAATAACCCTCCTACTTCAAGTTTAAGATCTTATAAGGTTTCATCTACTCTGTACTTTCTCTTCTATACCCAGCCCTCAATTTGATACTCATCTAAGGTTTCAGTATTTTTAACTGCAATAACTGTATTAGGAATATCTGAATTCATCTGATTATTTTCTCCTTCTCCTGGAGGCGAATGTAGTCCAGAACATGAATTAACATCATTCATTTGAACATTTGCTCTATCACTTTGAATATTTTGCTATGAATGCTTGAATTCTCTTAATTCTTGGGTTGAGAGAGGTCTTACTTTTACTCTGTAAAATTAGGTACTCATGTATTAGCCTGTTTAGTTTTAACAAATTAAATTTATCTATCTAAGTGCTAATTCTCTTATTAAAGTCGAGTTTTCCTAATTAAATATTTAAATTCTAGGTTTTTCCCAAATTTTAATATCCGACCGAATCAATGGGCAATAATTTTTGATTTTGAGCTTATCTTTA